ACGTAGGACAGCAAGCAACCGCTAAAAATCTTCAGTAAGTTATCTTCGTAAGAACTCTGGTAAACACCAAGCCAAAATTAGCACCTCCAATAAAATATTAATTGTTTACACAGCATACCAGTACAGTATAACACCTTGATAGTACCCTTATATACGGTATGATAGTAGAACATTGTGGTACACCTGGCTTACGATCCGCCATTTGCATCAGCTGGTGTAAACAACTACCAGTGGCGCCACCAACACCACGCAGCCGGCTGCAAAATTATGGGTCCGTTACACTGTCGGCACACAGCTTAGACTTAGACTGTCATCCACTTATTGACCCCCTCATACACTGAACAAGCCTAAATGGCAATTTATTAAACAACTGTGGCTTTATGATCTTGCTGGCATCCACTCATTACCCACACACCAACATGACAACACTGTAGATGTTATCTTGTCCAGTTGTAGTACTGGGTAGTTGTCTGGCTGGCCGCCTGGGTTTAGTGGCGTTCTGATCGATTGTTTACTGTGCACCAGCTGTTGGAAATGGCGTGAGGTGTTGTGTTCGTTTAATTATACTGGAATTTACTATTTTATTATAATCTCTTTGTTAAATAAGTTTACCAAACATGAATTTCAGTAGGAAAATATTAGCGGCAGGCCACGGGAGTTACGCTAAGTGATGCACAGCAAGTGTTAGGCAGGCTGTTCCACTTGTTTACCACTCTGTGGTAAAGCTTCACATTTTATAAGCCGGCCTCTGGTTTTGGAGAGATTTTTTCAAGCTTAAAATGTCGACTTATATGCCGCAACTTACAGTAATTTCGAAAATCTTAGAGAGGGATGAAGTTAGGGCAATGGACGATAGTTAAGAAGGATTGGAATAGTCACCCTTCTTCGGAATGGGCTGAACCAAGGCATGCTTCCAAGAAGAAGGAAAAGATGGGTTTTGAGGCAAAGGCAAAAGACGCGAGCAAACACAGGTGCCAGAACTTCAGCACACTCCCTCAGAACACGAGGGGGTATTCCATCCAGTCCATGTGCCTTACTCACATCAAACCTGGATAACACACCAGCAACCCTACGAGTGGAGATTATAGGAAAGTGCATAGGTTCAGTAGGAGGAGCAGGAGTAGGAAGGATAGAGTTGGAATTGTCTTAGGTGGAGTTAGAGGAAAATAAGGTGCCAAAAAGATTGGCTTTATCAGGGGGGAAGAGTTGGCTATAGAGTTATCAGGTCGGAAGAGAGAGAGAAAAGAGGGAGTGCAGAAGTTATTACAGATGTTTTTGGTTAAGGACCAGAAGGATTTACTAGAGGAAGAATTAGTCAGTGGGTAATAGGAGGAGATAGTTTCATAGCTTGATATGCCCGATCTCTCTCCCTACATGCAAGAGCAGGAGCGATCAAACCATGATTGTAAAGTGAAAGTTTTGGTAGATGGGATAAATGCACTCATACCACCCTGTATAACCCCAGCAATGCTGTCAGCACATACCGAAGCGTACCGTGTGAAAAAGCAACATTCATCCCAAGGAAAGTCGGAAAAGAATTCTCACAAGGATTGCCAGTTTGCCCTCCGACAGTGCCGTAGTTAACATTTAGAGGGGTGTGGGGGAGGTGGTCGTGCCCAGTTTAATTTAATAGAAATAAGATTGTGATCAGAAGACCCTAAGGGGGCAGAAATTGAGTACGAATAGCGTGAGGGGTTAGAGGTGAAACAAAGATCAAGAATGTTAGCAAGTTGATCATGTCGAACTGGAACACGTGTAGGGTGTTTAATTATTTGTTTCGGATCATTAAGTAAGGAAAAGAGTGCCTCAGCTCCACCTGGGTCAACCCTTGCAGAGCCAAGCCACTCTCTGTGATGTACACTCGCACCAAAAAGTATCGGTGCAGGGTGACGACTACCGAAACGATACGTATACACTGTGATATGGGTATCCTCATCCCCCCAATAGGCCATATGGCTGACAATCAGGGCTGCCAACATACGGCTGGAACAACTCGCCTTTCCCAATACCTATCGTCTCTGGTCTCAAATTGTTCACACTACAGTGTGCACCGATACTTTTTGTTGCGAGTATACATTGAAATCCCCTAGGTAGAGGATCTTGGTGTTGGGCTTTGTGGATAGCAACAATTCATGGCAAGAAGTGAGATACTCGAAGAGTTCTAAATAGTTGGTGGAGTTGGGAGAACAGTATAGGAAACAAAGAAATATAGTCATAGATTTTAGAGATATTTTGATCCAGATGACAACATAAAGGGAAGATTCAAGATCCGTGAGTCGAGCTATAGGTGTATGTATGTTGCAGTAGGCACATACACGCCCCTTAGAATGGAAATAGGTATAAAGGTTGCAGTTGGAGACTTGAAAAGGTTTGGGTGAAGCTGATTTGGTCAGTTGAAGTTCAGATAGTAGTAAGAGGTTGGGAAGAAGAGATTAATAGATAGTTATCCACAGAAGGAAAATTGGATCTCAGGTCGCAAATGTTGGAAAAATTAAGTGTGAAAAAAGCCGATCCTCCAGCAGCCGTGGTGACGCCAGTTGAGGCCCCAGGAGTTTGATGATGATCAGGTCGGCCCTGGGGTTCACAATCTTCCCGACCAGTGGGACCCATCCGAGAAGGCCCCACTTTAATATTATTGTCAACTAACATCATAGGAGAATAAAAGAATAGAAAGAATAGAACAGATCAAGAGTGAGTACAGTTATATATGTTGTGTTGTCAATAGTAAGAGACAACTGAAACCCTGCAATTGTGTGTAAATGAGGCAGAAAGTCAGATCAGCAACCTGGAACTTGGTCACAGTTTTTGTGATGCCATATGGCAGCAGGGTCTACAATTAGACAACACATTATTCTTACAATATCTTCCCTGTCTGGTAGTTGCCTACTACCTACTACCTGTGATGAATAGTACACAACTAATGTAATTTACTACCTCACACATTAAAATAATAAAATACTATATAGATGAAAATAAGAGCCAAAACCATTAAGGAAAAGCAAAATCAAAGTTTACCATAGCCGCCATTTGCACGGACGTTGGCTGTCACGTGAGGACGCACTCAATCCTCTCCAGGCAACCTAGCCCGGCTGGGGACACTGCCTCTCCTGACCCTTAGCAACGCTCCCACACCCCGCTCTCACACAAAGAAATGTAAAAAAAAAATAATAATAATAAACAGTTTATTGAAAAAGTTCTGCAGCCCGAAGGCTGAAAATATACACTGGACATAAATGACTTATTACTTACATTGGTGGTTTAACAAAAGCCTTCATTAGAGAAAGGTGAAGGAACATACAGATTAATGTTTACAGCGGAGGTTACGTAGATCATGTGAGCTGAGGTGTTGAACAGCAGACACGAAGTGTAGTAACTCCCTCACAGATGGCGTTATGAGGGGCATCATGTGGAGTAGTAGTTCCCTCACAGGTGGTGTTATGAGGGGCTTGACGTGGTGTAGTAATTCCTTCACAGATGGCGTTATGAGGGGCCTGATGATGTAGTAATTCCCTCACCGATGGTGTATGAGGGGCCTGATGATGTAGTAATTCCCTCACAGATGGCGTTATGAGGGGCCTGATGTGGTGTAGTAAATCCCTCACAGATGGTGTATGAGGGGCCTGATGTGGTATAATAATTCCCTCACAGATGGTGTTATGAGGGGCATCACATGGCGTAGTAATTCTCTCATGGATGGTGTTATGAGGGGCATCACATGGTGTAATAATTCCTTCACAGATGGTGTTATGAGGAACCTCACATGATGCTGTAGCAACTCATTCACTACGTGGTGTCATAGCATCATTGGGACACCACGTGGTCTGTTGTCACAGGACCTCACTCACTCAAGTGAGTGAGGTGTGGTCCCAGGCCTCCCCATCGTGGAGTCTCAGGGGAATTATCACTGGGTACCTGGGACCTCACTGTGTGAAGGTTAGCTTGGCTCAAACTCAACTGCCGAGTTGTTTTTCACTGACTTGAGCACTGTTCACCACTATTCAACACTGGTTCCATTCCTTTCCCAAATGAAATAGTAACTTCTGGCGAGAACTTGTCGATATTCCGGTGGGGAGGAGGGTTCAGGGGAGGGAGTTGGTATGGGCCAACATAATAGTTGACGTGGCTGCTGCTAGAGCAGCGCCAGGTGCGTCTTGACCCGTCGGTTTACCCCCTCTTATGTTTTTTACTTTATGACTTTTTTTTCAGGTTTTATGTGTGGGATTGTATATGTAACTGAATAAAAAAAAATTATGAAGAAAGTTATGTTTATCTACCCAAAATTAAGAGATGAACAATAACCATAACGTAACTCCTACCTCAGCCTGGTAGGGAGAGAGCTCGGGGGATGTGGCTGCCCCAACTGACTCCTGGCGGCACGCGATATGAATTTTTGCTGGGACCCAAATTCGTATGAGCAGGGGAAGCTTTCGTAACACGAAAGAGGTGGTAATTTAGGAAATTTGTATTAGCTAATTTTCATAGAGCAAGAGATACGCACCTGTATTGTGTATACAGGTGCTCCCCGACTTACGACGGGGTTAGGGACCCAAATCCAGGTCGTAAGTCCGACATAGATGACAAAAAAAATAAATAAAAATAAAAATTTAAGTAAAAAATCTACAATGAAATACAGTACAGTAAAAGTAATAAATAATGAGGAATGGATACAGTGTGACTGAGCACTTACCTTTAATGTAGTCAGCTGAATGCACATGGGGCCCCCATAATTTTCTAATTATACATGGAGACTACATTTACTGGAAACGTTTCGGTATAGAAAATGCGTGCGTCAATTGAAAAAATAAATAAATAAAAAATAAATGGTCACAACTGCGGCGGTCGTAAGTCCAAGCAGTCGTAAGTCGGGGGCTACCTGTATTTCTAAATGCAACTAACCCAAAAAATAAATGACTGGGACAATTATCAAGTATCAGAAAAATAAATAAATTGTAATGGTTTTGTTGACATGGAAGTACTGTAAGAGATTATTAAACACCTACCTTTGTTGTTAATCTCCAGTAAAGGCTTCCTTGTTGCAACACCAGAGCACCGAGAGTCAAATCTTGGAGCCATGGTGAGACAAGAAGTTGGAAGACGAGTTGGTATATAACCTGCAATTTAATTAATAATATTTGTGTTAAAATGGATGCCATTAAGTAAACAACAATTAAAATTAAAAACTATCTCCTTATTTCAATACATCAAAATAACTTTAAAGAACAGTCCCCACACCCAGAAAAAGAATCTCTTGCATGCCCTTTCTTGCTTCAGTGCAGGGTGACCAGAATTAAGAGCAAATTTTAATCTCCATTCGACTATTGTCCAGTGCATTCAGAGGCTTATAGTTGAAAAGTCCAAGACATAAAATTCCCTGGAGTCTCACAGATTTCTGAGCGTCAAGTGTTTAGTAAATTAAAGTCATATTTCTGCTTTTCTTCCAATGTTCAAACCTTTTCCTACAAAAATGAAATGTTGCCAAAATCTAGAGCAGACTTTCCCTTCATTCATCCTCAAAGTAAGAACTAATGTATTCTGCAACAGGATTCCCCAATTATGTGGAGGCCTATTTTGGCATAAAAGGATTCATGTACAATGTAAGTAATTTTTTATCAAGACAGTATGCTGCAGATTCTAGAGGAGGTACATAGAATAGCAAGGCAAACAGTTTGTAGAAACAAGGACATAGTTGGGGAGAGGTTGTATGAATTGACACTATATTAAGAACCTGACAAGAGACTGCAGAGACCATGCATCATGGGTAACTGCCATCATGTAATCACAGCTAACCCATGTAAGCATGGAAAATTACCATAAAACAATTATGACGATGATGGACTTCCCCATCCATCACAAGGCAATTTAAAAAGATTCAGATTTGCCCCCGAGGGGGCTAGTTTATTGGGCACCCCCTTACATCCTGTGCAAGGTAAAGCGCAGAAGCGTTTACAGCGCCCAACAGGGAAGTATACAATTTAAAAAGAGTTACTGCATGGTAGGACCGTTGAACATAACTGGCGGCCTTCATATTACTACACACTCCTTAACGGTTCATTTATCTTACATTTTGATTAAATATTCCATAGCTGCTTTAAGTTTACTAATGGAAGCATTTCTAAGATTTTTAACTTTCTGGCATAATCTATCAATACTGTACTCCCACTTACAAAAGGTCTGCTGTCCAGCTTTCTTCCCATATATTCAAGATACAGTGGCCCCTCCATTAACGAACTCAATCCGTTCCAGAAGGTCGTTCGTTAACCGAAACGTTCGTTAACCGAAACCATTGTTTCAATGGGTATTTGGGTAATTGGTTCCAGCTCACCGAAAATTTCCTAACTTCAACAAAAATGGCGGAAAAATGTACATACTTTGAGGTCTGTATGTAGAAGGCTCCTGGATGATGGTGATGATGTGCAGGAGAAGGGAGAAGAGAAGGAAGTGGAGGTGGAGGAGAAGCATTTTACTGCTTCTTGGAAGGTGAGTCACCTTCCATGAAAATGTCAGGAACCTCTGGACTGACAGATTCTCCACCATGAACATCCTCTCTCCTTCTTGAAGTGGAAGGCTGAGGGATAGCATCTTGTTCCCTCTGCCTTTTACTGAAGAAAGTGTCAATTGTGGTCTGTGGGGCATCTGTCCTCCTCACCATTAACTTATGTTTAAAGAAGGAGACCACTGAGTCCTCAACATGACACAAAGTTAGTTCAGTTTTTTCCACTTCTGGGTGCTTTGAAGCCAGTTCCCTGAACTTCTCCCAGTGGTAAATCACATCTTTCAACTGTTTAGCTGACATATGGTCATCACTTTCAATTTCCTCCTCACCACTGTCAGCCTCTACCCGTAACATCTCATCCAGTTCCTTCAAGTCATCAGGAGTAAGTTCCTCCTCATGAGACATCACAAGCTCTTCCACATCATCCTCTTCCACTTCAAGGCCCAATGACTGACCAATGGACACAATCTCCTGGTCCAACTCTGTGTCATCCTCAAATCCCTCAAAATCATGGACTACTGATGGCCACAGTGCTTTCCATGAAGAATTGAGGGATCTAGTGGAGACTTCTTGCCATGATGACACAATCAATTTTACAGCCTCCAGGACGTTGAATTGTGTCTTCCAGAACTGTTTCAGTGTTAGTTCAGGATCAGCGGAAGTTGCCTGATGACACCTCCGAAACATTTTCTTCATGTACAACTTCTTGAAGTTGCTGATTACATTCTGGTCCATTGGCTGTATGAGTGATGTAGTGTTTGGAGGCAAAAACAACACTTTCACAAAGTCAAATTGATACTCCAAATTTCTGGCAAGGTCAGGGTCATGACCAGGAGCATTATCCATGAGGAGAAGAGCCTTTAAAGGAAGTTTATTGGTGGTTAGGTAGCTCTTGACATAGGGGCAAAACACATCAACAGCCCATTCATTAAAGAACTGTCTTGTCACCCATGCCTTACGGTTGGACTTCCAATAAACTCCAAGCATTGTTCTTACCACTTTCTGTTGCTTGAACACCCTGGGGTTTTCAGAATGGTAGACAAGCATAGGCTTCAGTCGGAAATCCCCTGAAGCATTGGCACCAAGCAGTAGAGTGAGACGGTCTTTCATGGGTTTATGCCCAGGTAAAGAGGCTTCATCTTTGGTGATGAATGTTCTTTTGGGCATCTTTTACCAGAACAGCTCAGTTTCGTCCACATTGAACACTTGCTGTGGAAGATAATTTTCTTCTTCCATCAGTTTGTTAAATTCAACTAAAAACTTTGCTGCCCCTTCTTTATCAGCACTAGCAGCTTCACCATGCATAACAACACTTAAAATGTCACTTCTTTTCTTAAATTTTTCGAACCAGCCTTTGCTAGCCCGAAAATCTTCAAATTCTGTTCCTGAAGAACCAGGTTGATCTGCCTTTAAATGTTCATAAATCTCCCTGGCTCTTTCACAAATGAAATCACCAGAAACTGAATCACCTTTCATCTGTTTTTCCCTAATCCAGATGATAAGTAACCTCTCAGTTTCTACGATTAGGGATCTACTTTTAAACACTCTTGTAGATTTGTCTCTCACTTTCACTTCCTTAAATTTGTCTTTTTGTGCAAGAATTGTCGACACAGTTGATGCCGACATGCCATATTCTTTGCATAGCGCATTTGATTTAATACCTTGTTCGTGTTTTTTTATTATTTCCTGCTTTATTTGGATTGAAATCGCTTTTCTTGATCTCTTAGGCCCCATGCTGGATTCAAACAATGGCAACACGTATTTTTCAAAGTTAAACTAGCTGTAAATAAAGAATATTTTCTTTAAAATAACACTGCACTGCACTATATAGTCAATATGTAAAATAATTTTCAAAATGACCAATAATTTGCTTGGAAACACAGAAAAAAAGCGTTTAGTTGAAGAGAGTCTCAAGCAAGATGTTACCTCCAGTGAAAACAGAGAGAGACTGACGCCTGTTTGCTGTGTTAAGAGGCTGGATGCCACGCATTAAACTAGTCACTTTACCTTCAATTTTGTTCAATAATTGTTAAAATGACTAAAAAATTGAATATTAAACTATTAAAATTATTGAATAGTATAAACTTCTTGATATTTACTAAAATAGTAAGGAATTTAAGCCCTAGAACCGATTAATGTATTGGCGGACTGATACTAAAGCTGGTTGCCCGGTCAGCGCAAGCGAAAACATGTTGAGGTCGGTTCGTAAGAAGTTTGTTAAGCGAAATTGTTTTCGTTAACCGAATTGAAGATCCTTATGGAAGGCAGTTCGTTAATCGAAATTACGTTAACCGAGGTGTTCGTTAAACGAGGGGTCACTGTATTACTAGTTTCCTTCGGTAAATTAATTATATATATGGTGGCCCTGTCCTTTACCAGAGTGATGTACGACTGACCCCTGTACCTCCTATAGCTTATTCCTCACTTTTTCTATTTCCTTATAATGTACAGCACTTCTTTCTAAGTAAACATATAATAACATTAAGAGTCTTGCATCAGAAAATGTAATGCATTACTTCTCAACATTTTCAACTCACCCATTGTCATGAAATCATCAGCAAGAATTGTATCAACATTTGGTCTGCGTGTTGGGTCTGCCTGAAGCAATTTCTGGATAAGTGAGCGAGCAAGAGGACCAATCCGAGATGGAATGTGGTACTCATTTTTTCTTATCCTCATATATGTATCTTTTAAAGTTTGTGTTTCAAAAGGAGGCTTTCCAACCAGTAAAGTATATCTGAAAAGAAAATTTTTTAACATTAGGACATTTGTAAAATAATCCATTTATAAACATTAACCCATACGTGGTTTCCATATAATAAACCTAGATACCCCCCCTCTGGTTACCAAAAAGTTAATTTGTTTTGGGCTAGAAAAGCTAGATAATGATGTCTAAAATCATGTGAAATGGTTAGAGAATAGCAACTCAAGTCTCATGTTAACAGAATCATAGGAATTGTTGTGTAACGTCTCCGTTTCTATGGAACCAGCCTTGGCATTTTAAATCCAACACTGTTGCAATCTCTGCGTGACCTGGGAAACATATCACTGAATTTATTTTATATCACTTTATTTTGATATTTACACCTCTTTTATATACAGTATACTAAACTTGTGATTTTATAATACTGGATAGGTAGGTGAATAATAAATGAAATTCAATTTTTTTTTATTTACTTACATGTGGCAGTGAGTTTCAGACATCACTTGCCTAAAACAACTTACATTTATATAATTCTCCACTTATTTTAATATTTATTGTACTCAAATATAGATATTATTCACATGTGCTCTCGGTTAAGGCACAAATTTATACAGTACAGTTTTACCACCAATACATTGTCACACTGCCAGTACCACATCATGCTGTGTTGTGTTGGTTCCCTAAAATAATGAGAAATTATATATACAGTAGGGCCTTCAAATGGCCGTGAATCGCCGAATCCACGAATAACATTTACTGACACGGGGGGGTGGGGGGGTTACATTTTTATTTATGTACGTATAAAGAAATGTATATTTCTTTTATGTGTGTGCCCTTATGGCAATTATTTCTTTTACTTGCATTGCGCGCATGAACACACACACTATCACCACCACTACTACTACTACTTTGCTGTCACTTGGAATCGAGTTAGACTATCATCCAGCTATGATACAATGATGTTGGTGAGTTTTGAGGTGACTAAAGAGGCTGATACAGGATCGACAGAGTCGTTCACAGAAGTTGCACATGTGGGGGAATCCATCTAGTGTGGGACAGACGCCAGCAGCGCTTTCCGGCGCTTGTCTGCCTCAGTTTGCAGTCGGGCTAATTCAAAAGTATTGACACCTCGTGTGGTGATCCTCCAAGCATTAGGTGTGCAGTGATCATCTCCCAGGTGAGGGGGAGTCAATTTGGCTTACAGTTCATCATGATTAATATAAAATCTTCAGTAATAGAGAAAAAAATACAATACTGTACTGTATGCAATTTCTAATATGAATTGAAAATAAAAGGATAAGCTGTATCAGAAGGTTGTTTACCCAGAATGTGTTCGTGTGACAGCTTTCAGCAGACCAGCTTACAACAGGGGTCACTATAACACACTGTATAGTATTTGATAAGAAGATACCTTCCTAAAAATTTATTTACTACCTTTGAGTGTTATATGATGCTCAGTTTGGCTACTAGTACACTTAGACATATGATTAATGAATAAACCAGGGTACAGGGTATATGCAGATACACAATATTGTACACTACAATATTATTTAAGTGATGATAAATACACTACAATAGTATTTATGAAGTGGTGATAAATACACTGCAATAGCATTTATTGGTTGATGATAAATACACGACTGTACTGTACTAAATTACCAAGTGTTGAACACAGACGTTGTGGTAAGCCATCAGCTGTTTGCCCTTTGTAAACAAATGACTCATGGTGTTCGTTGAGGGAATCTTTTTTCGGGAAAGCCGATTTTTGGGGGGATAATATTTTATCAACCTGGCACCAAATGAACCTAAATCATATGAGAATTATGGTGAAAATGCATGAAGTGTTAAAGGAATCTTGGGGGAGAGATGGGGAGGGTGTACCCACTTATGCTACCCCCCTCCCCTCTCCTCTGCCAGCTGCTCCCAGATAAACATTTGTCTTCCACATAGAATAAACTCCTACACTTATTTGTTCTTATTTTTATCTTTATAGTACTGGACAGTATACAAATTCTGTGGTTACTTACATTTAACACTTTAGAGTAAATAACAATCATCTCATTGACAACCAGACTTATATATCTGATTTTCAACCCAGAGAGTTGATTCATATTTTTTTTTTGTTGATGTAATATTCTCTTAATAACCTTGTCAAACACAAAGACCTTAGTTGTCGAAGTGCCGTAATAACATAAAAGCACCTTATTTTCTTTAAACAGTTCAGATGAGCAGTGTTATCTCCCACCCCCCCAAATATATTCGCATTTTCCAGACTGGAGTCTGCCCTAATCAGTCTGATTTATCGAAGTTCTACTGTAGGTGCCTCTGGTAAGAAAAACCAAGGAAAAGTATTAAACTAGAGCAGGAGAGGCCAAAATTTTATGCAAGGGGGCCATTTTGAAATATTTTCATTCTATGGCAGTCCATGTGTGTGTGTGTGTGTGTGTGTGTGTGTGTGTGTGTGTGTGTGTGTGTGTGTGCTACACAGGGTGGTGAAATGCATCTAGTGTGGCAGCATTATGTCAGTGTTAAGGTGCAAGCACTGCTTGCTCCCTCTCGCTTTCAGCTGCCGCCGCTGTCTAGCCCTCGTGGCGAACAGGGAAGCAACTTGCATAAGTCTTCCCCTGCCAGTACTCAGCCTCCTGCTGTGTCTCCTATTGGCAGCACACGGTAACTGGGTGCCACGTGGGCCCAGGCTAGATCAGCAGGAGATCTCGGAGTAGCAGTGGGCCCTAGAGGGATGGCGTACAGGCTCACTGGCATGTGGACACATTCTGGCACCTACCAACTACCGCCCCGCTGCCTTGCGGATTAACCTTGGCAGGTATAAGGCTACGGGAGTAAACCCAGACGAAAAATCTGCAGTGGAGCCCCGCATCAGGCAGACATGCTTATAGAGCTCCAACAAGACCCCAACGGCGGTGTAGACGGAAGAGGTGACCACCATGGAACCCAACGACTACACCAGCGGATGAAGGCAATGCCTGATGGACAGGCTACTAAGGCAAAACCCAACAAACTGGGCTATCGACAGTCCATTGCAACTCTCCCTCTCCCCAGTCGTTGCAAAACTTGCACCACTGGATCAGGAAAAGGGAGAGCCAAGATGAGTGGTTGCAGCCTGCGCTCCTGCCTCACTACAAAAATCAACTCACGCGCAGCCATCACTCAGCTAATCATCCCACTCATCATCATCAAACCCCTTATACCCCCCCAAAAGTCCTATGGCGACGGGGACAGGCAGAGATGACTGCTGGGAGTCTCCAGTAACAACTCTGCACATGGGCTGCACAGATAAGATGGTCGTTTATGCACTGGGATCTAGGCAGCAGTGCAATCAGGTCCTGTCTGTGCGACTGAGTAGCTCTTACAAGGAGCCACTCTGCTCACCCCACACTGGGAGGGGCCTAGAAAAGGTGCCCTAAACAGCCATTTCAGCACCCAGTCATAACGCTGGCCCCCATCTGTACCAATGACAACTAACTTCTGCTTCCATGTTTGCCACAGTATGAATTCATCGTAGAGCAAACACATTTCTTGATAGATGCAGCATCAACTCTCTCAATATTTTTTTACAGCAACAAAGTTTACCTCGCATTAATAGTGCATTCTCTATATGAAGCTCATATACACATTGAGTGTGTCTTACCATTGGCCCACTCGCCCATCGGGCAATCCCAGACCAGCAAAATAGTAAAATCTTGTTGCCCTTATGATATTTAAGTCGCATCGGGCGACCGGGCGTATGTGAATTTCTACCCCTGTATACCTGTAATGTACTGCACTACAGAACTATAGTGCTTTGCGCGTCTGTCCGCCAACCAATCAGCTACCTTGCTACAAGTACGAACTGACTTTAGGCCTCAGTTGCAAAATTCTAATGAACAAACCATAGTCATGGTTGGTTTGAACATTTTAAGAAATATAGCAACTTGCATAATATTGCCTACCCATCCAAGCCAGCTTCTACACAGTTTCTTCAACATCTTGGATAAGTTACTTTATATTTTACATCAAAATATTTATCTTACAACAATATAATTTAGGCATTAGTTATTATTTTGTTAAGACAAGTTTAATTAGGAATGTTCCCCAGAAATATAAACCCCATTTACAGTATTAGGTCTGTGGTAAACTTGTGTTAACTAAATGTTGTTTCACTGTGCGTTGCAACTTCAAGAACACATGCCCGACGTATTGCAAGGTATTACTGTATCCTTATTCAAGTACTGTAGTACCTTCTTCCCAAATGGTTATCATTTTGGAGCTTGTCATTGAGTGAAGGATATTTTAACCTTCAATTATCTTTATATCTAAGTAACAGAAGTCAAGATTGTCTTCAACCAGCAACCTTGTTGGCTATAAGAAGTTATTCAAATCAATACTTGCAGTTATAAAAGTATATTTAACTTCTGTGCCTGATAAGATAAGCTTACAATGCTTCCCATAAAAAACATGCAATTTAATGTTATACTGTAAACAGAGTACTTACAAAATGCAGCCTAAAGACCAGACATCAACTTCATAGCTGTGACCCTTCTTGCAGAGAATCTCAGGAGCAATATAGTTCGGGGTGCCACACAAGGTTCTGCAAAAATACCACCACATGCATATATAAAATACTCATACAGTACATAATTATAGGATGTTGCTATATGCGAATTAATTTTTTCTAACCATAAGTTGGACTATGAGGGGTACTCATGACAGTGTATCCTCTTAGGGATGATACAAGGCAAGTAACACATTCTACAGCTGGTTATGCCGAGTAAACTAGGGATGAGGATGAAGAGGCATGATTCAACTGTGCAGTAAGAGCCTAGTGAATGCCTTACATTTAAACATACGTAAGTTGCATATGGACGGAAAGATATGATAGGGTATTTATATTTTGCAATTGATTAAGGTTTTAGTAAATATTAAAACAAGCCTGGTGTTAAATATCATACAATTCTTTTAACAGGAAAGTAAAAAATGCTTTATGTTCACAATAATGTACTGTACTGGCTGCTTACTGGGGTATACTAGGAGTTATTTTCCAACCCCTGCAATGAAAACAAAAGTTGAGTTGTTAATCACTGTGGTATACCAGTCACTTTTCCCTCCTCAACTTAAGAGGGTTATTATCCAAGATATCAGCCCAATAAAGAATACCTGTTACTAGATAACTATCCCGATACTTCAAATGTAAAAGACCTTCCTTTAAATTTTAAATTTATATGAAATCTTGTAACTATTTATATCACGCGCAGATATATTTCTAGTATCATTTCAAACTCTCTGTGACTAATTTCATGGGAAGATCGTCCAAGTTACTTTGTGACCAAAATCAACATTATATTTTATTAAATAATGATTAAACTTTACAAAACAGGGGCATACAATTTAGCATTCTTCAAATCAACAAGTGAAGAGCCCTTTCTTACGAAACAGCTCATTTTGAGCTCTCTACAAACTAATATCAGAGAAAATCGTTAGGTAATTTCAGTCTTGCTTACTCAATGACTTCCTGAGACCCTGATTTACGAAAGGATTCTTTCTATTCCTGAAAACCTTTTGTAAATAAAATTTTCCAAAATCAAAGTCCCATGGACTCCCACCTTGAAATCAGAGATACACCCCTATGGGTGGATCCCAAAATGTTTTAAAAGTTCCACAAAATGCTATGAAACATGTTTTAGTGCCAATTTTTGGTGTCCACAATAATAAACATATAAAGTGAAATACACGCAGTACAGCAGAGGACAGTAATAATTTTATACCCATACAGTACAATATTGTACTGAATAGGTATGAGATTGGAAACAAATTGAACAGTATGAAATGCTGAGTCAACATCTATTATTATAATATAGTAGTACAGTTTTACCCCGCTTAACGCGCTTTCACTTAACGCGTTTTCGCATATACGCGGTGCCTTGCCAAAGCTGAACTTTCACTTAACGCGGCATTTTTCATCATATACGCGGTGAGTGTCCGGCTCGGATGCTATTTTTAGATTTAGACCACGCGCCACCCGCCCGCCCGCCTGCCTGCCTCTCCCTCCTCCTCCCTCCGCTTGGGCAAGCGGCGCGGTAAGGTTGCGCAGTGTGTGTCTTTGTTGCGTTATCACTGACGTCATATGACGTCTCGGACTGTGATTGGCCATGCAGCCCTACCCCCCTCTGCTGCTAGCTGTAATTGGCTTAAAGTACAGTACTCCCTCTTTATCGACGGGGGTTACGTTCTGTAAACGGCCGTCGATAAAGAAACCGTCGATACCGTGATGGTTACATAATTTTTCTAACTATTATTTGCATATGTTGAATAAATGTACCTTTAAGCATTAATGCGTTTCCTTTACACATAACCTTAAATAATAGTGTATAAATAATAATATAATAAGTGGACAAAAATACTAGCAAACTTACGATTTCATTTATTGAAGTGAACATCGGTCCTTACAGTAAACAAAACAGTGTACAGTACAGTAAAAGTCCAAAAATCCGGATGCCCAAGGCAAATTGTTTACCATTTATTATTACAACTACACTGAAACGCGGGTAGTTTCAACAAAAATATTGTATATTTCCATTCAAGTATTTATTCAAGTCAATTAGGAGGGAATATTATTGTAATACAACAGTTTTTTAACTAAACCATTCGAAAAGTGATTACGGTAACATCTTTTGAACGAAAGAAAGCGCAAGTCATTGTTTTCGTCACGATTTGATCCCACTTTCCACTGTAATACATACGTCATTTTAGCAAAAATATTACATTTCCGTGAATGTATTATATCAAGCACAGTATGAATAGAATATCATTGTAATATAACAGAATTTTAACCGAAAACTATTAAAAAAACGAGTCACATCTCAAGAACATTGGAAGGTTAGGTAAAGTCTTTTGTTTTCGTCATGTATTTTATCCTATTTTACATTGAAATACGTCACGTTTCAGCAAAACTACTATTTATTTCCGAGAATATATTCATTCAGGCGCAGTTTAGGTAAAATATACGTGTGATGTAATAATTTTTTAACTGAAAACGATTCGAAAAACACGTAGCCTCTAGCCCTGTTCAAGGAGAGGACTGGGAGAAGCTGTTTGGTGCTGCAGACGATGACAAGGAAAATGATTTTGATGGATTTTAATGAAAATATTCAGAAATATGGTATCGTAATATTTATTCAAGTCAATTAGGATATTATTGTAATACAATACAACAGTTTTTTAACTAAACCATTCGAAAAGTGATTACGGTAACATCTTTTGAACGAAAGAAAGTGCAAGTCATTGTTTTCGTCACGATTTGATCCCACTTTCCACTGTAATACATACGTCATTTTAGCAAAAATATTACATTTCCGTGAATGTATTATATCAAGCACAGTTCAAAATAAAAATCCGGCTAAATAATCCGTCGATAATCGAAACCGTCGATAAAAAATCCGTCGATAAAGAGGGAGTACTGTATTATGACGTGACTACCCCGGGGAGGGAGGGAGGGAGGAGAGACAACGCTTGACCTAGCCGCGGCAGTTTCATCCCTCAAGGCCACGCCGGGTTAACGCGCATCCATTGTTCCGTAAAATGGCTTCCGCCGGACCACCACCCCCAGAGAGAAACCTTTCCTTACCTGGACCCAGCGGCACTAAACCAAAGAAGACACGACGTTCATTAAGCTACGAGCTGAAGTACCAAATTGTTCAAGATTTGGAGAAAGGAAGACGCCAAGTTGATCTCGCGCGCCAGCATGGCGTCAACGAATCTACGATTCGTACAATAAAGAAGGATGCAGCCAAGATAAAGGAGCACATGAAGATCACAAAGTCTGCAGGTGCTTCATCTATCAGGTATTGCCAGAACAGGGTGCTGGCAAAAGTGGAAACTTTGCTGGTGAGTTATTTGGTGCGTCAGGCGCGACGCAACATGGCGGTGGACACGCGCTCAGTGCAGGAGTACGCACGTGAGCTATACGCAGCAGTGACACGTAAACTGGGAATTGCAGAGCCCAAACCCTTCAATGCTTCCCATGGTTGGCTGCATAGGTTTAAGAGGAGGAACAAGGTCACCAACATCAGCATTGTTGGTGAGGAAGCGAGTGCTGACCGTGCGGCGGCTAGAGATTTTCCTCCGTTTTTACGTGAGATTATGGAGGAAGGACAGTACAGTGACGACCAGGTGTTTAACATGGACGAATCTGGTCTTTTCTGGAAAAAGTTACCTTCCAAGACCTTCGTTGTCCAGTCTGCGAGCAAGGTAAGGGGCCGGAAGATGCAGAAGGAACGCATCACCGTCCTGTTTACCACCAATGCCTCCGGTACCTGTAAACCAAAGTTATCGGTGATTCACAAAGCCCGCAAGCCGCACGCCTACAAGAATATGGACATGAACAAGCTTAATGTCCACTGGCTAACCGCACGTAAGGCGTGGATGTCCTCTTCTCTGTCCCTCTTCTGGTTTGACAACTGTTTTGTTCCTGACGTGCAGAAATTCTGCGAGCAACAGAATGTTCCTTTCAATATTTTGTTGCTCCTTGACAACGCACCTGGACACTCGCCCCTACTTATGGATCGTCACCCCAACGTAAAAGTGGTCTTCCTTCCTCCCAACACTACGTCATTAATCCAGCCCATGGACCAGGAGTTAATCTGCAATGTTAAAGCTGCATACTCGGCAAAGAAATTCAAGCTCCTGAACGACTCTACCAACACCAAGGATGAGTTGCGTAAGCTGGGTGACACCGACAGCGAGAGTAAAAGCGACGAGGACAAGGAACAAGAGGCGGCGACTCAAGAACTTCTCGTCAAACAATTTTGGAAGAAGTTTAACGTCAAACAAGCTGTAGACTTCTTGGTGGAGGCATGGGATCTGCTGACTATTGCTACGATTCGTCACGCATGGAGACATGTGTTGCATGGCATACCAGGTGAGAGGAGGAGTGAACCTGTGACTGGTCAGGTTCAGACTGTTGCAGTAGCAGTGGACCTTGCCAGAGAAGCTGCGCTCAGTATTACAGCTGAAGGCTTCTCCGAGACCACCAACGAAGACATCATGGAGGTGATCAGAGATCCTGAAGTGACTGCCGACGAGATGTTGGAAGAAGAACCCGCCAGTGAAGAGGAGGAAGAAGGTGCGTCATTCTCCGAAGAACCTAGTTTAAGTCATAGTGATATTAAGTGTCTCATAGAGTTAACAGAAAAAATTAAGTCCATCGTTTCCCGCGACACTGACGATGAACGCCATGACGTCTTCCATACCCGACTGGTGCAGGCTATGGAGCCGTACATCACGGTGTATCATGACAACATCAAAGCCAGCCGTCAGCAAAGCATAACCGAGTTCTTCGCCCGCAACCCACCACAGCCAGCCCAAGCCAGTGATAGTGATAGTGAAGTTGATTTTGAGGGATTTGTCAGGGAAGCCATGACAACTGTAAGTGACAGTGATATTGATTCACCTAGTAATGGTGATTCACCTAGTAATGGTGATTCACCTGAGGGGCAGTAATCTGCCCTCTGCCTCGGAACCAGCCTCCATCCCCGTATGCCGACCCATCTCTTCTACTACCGTGAGTGTTCCTCAAAAATTTTCGTTTTTTAACCTATTCTTTATTTTTCCTATGTTAACCTTTATCTTTCCTAACCTAACCTCTTCTATATTACTTGTTTTTCATGCCACCATAAAGTTAAGATAGAATTTTTACTACAACATAGTTATTTGTCGTCAAAAAGTGGAGTTTGGGGGTCGGGCTGGGTTCTATTGGAATTAATCCCATATGTTCTGTTATTCACTTAACGCGGTTTTCACTTAACGCGGGACCCTCTGGGTTCAATTGACCGCGTTAAGTGGGGTACAACTGTACAGTAATATACTGATTCCAATTATATAATTGGAGATAAAATTATTTACATGGCACAAACGACTTGAGCTATGACTAACACTTGAAGGTACAGTATATTGATTCCTGCTGGGTAAGCTTCATACTGTTTAACATTGAATTTATTTGGCTTTCTCAATGCCCTCACCAATCTATTCAATATTAATATCAGTGGAAATAATCTTAATTCCAATACAGGAGGTCCCTGGATTAAGTATATCCGCTGCCAATTTCCTAAATTTGAACTCTTCCTGCAACAGCACAGAAGCAACTGGTTTCAAATTTATTTCATAGCTTATGTCAGCATATTTTGGAGCCAACAAATACTGGGAAAGTTCATATAAGGAACTCTTTTTGTCATTGCATTGGAACTTCAAAAAACTAAACTTGTGAGCATTCCTATCTGAGGGAATGAATGTTAAGGCTTTCAATATTTTAGCCCAGACTTAATCTTTTTCAGAGATCATTTGGGGCAAATATCAGGCCAAGAAGTTGTAGTATCACCTTCTAAAAACAATGAATGATGACCCACAGTGGCTTGGCCTTCCTGGCTCTTTTTAAGTGCTGAGAGATCAGGAATTTTAGAAACCTTTTCATAAAATATCTTGAATAAAGAATCCACAGACTCGGATGTGGTTGAAAACAAAGAAGACTTAGGTCTTACCAATGTTACCCAAGGCCTGTTTGAATCATCCTTACACTCAATGTTCTCCATCAGCTGTGTGGCAGTCGACAGCAGCCTGTTTCCACTCATAGTAACCAACACTTTTGCCCCAGGTGGAAGAGGTTGCCAAAATGGGCGACAGGATGAAGTCAGTCTCAACAGATTCTCCCTGCTCCAGTGACTGAACACTATTAGTACCAACTTCCTCATCCAGATTCTGGAATCCACTAAAATCGGGCTGACTAGATAGAGGTTCTTGCCTTAAATATCCCATAACCTTCTTATCTTAGCAGAAGCAGGTTGGTCTAACTGGGGATTAAGTCTCTTACCTATCTCCCATAATTCTAAACTTTTTGCCAACTTGGGATCTTTCCAGTGTTTTACATTTAGAATTTTACTCTTTAAGACAGTATTCCATCTATTTTTAATTTGGATCTTTGATAATTCCTTCTTATCTCCTGCATCTTGATTAATTTAAAAAATTTGATCATAACAAACTGCACAATTCAATGGTGAAAACAGGTTGTCTGAGACACAGCTGCTATGAATTATGCAAGCCCAATGAGGATCTAACTTGGTAATCCAAGTTGCCCTACATCCTTGATAATTACATGTAGTATATTTCCCTTGGGTCATACGTGAAACTACTACCACTGAATTCACATCTTTGTATGTAGTGCATGATCTGAGCTCTTCATTCCTTGTAGCTCCTCACTCAACACTAGTTCCCCAGGGACCGTTCCATGGTCTCCTCCGTCATCTAGCAGTCCAGACAACTGCCCTTCATCCTCCAGTTGCACATCACTCATCTAAACTAGGAGGAACACTGAGTCACATTGTATCATCATAATAATACAAGCGAGATAAAAAATTTTCCCAAACATAATCAATATGACTCGTAACTGTGATATTTTAGTAAGTTATTTCATTTAATAACTCACTATATCATACACCTCTCTCCTTTCTCATATCTCAATTATCCCTCAGCTCAATGAACTTTGTTTCTTAATCAAGCTAACTTCAGTTTAGAGCACTTATATTTTGAGGGACCACCAAGTTCTCTATTTGTTGCCAATCAGGGGGCACAGACATCACCGCTTCAATCATGTTTGAGCGATGATGCCTGAGTGAGCATCAAGTCACCCGGAAGGGTTGACAGTGCTGGGCTGCTACCATAGAGCTCCATTAGCTAACATCGTTCACCATTACTCTAGCAAGATGTATTGGGCTGAGAATTTCAACCTTAATGGGTCTCATTTAACCCATACTTAGGATACAAGGTTCATTCCAACATAACACTAGATTGCTAGTAAGACCAGAAGGTCAGCGTTCGGAAGGATCACTAAGACTAGCAGCCTCGCTAAAGTTCGCCTGGAAAGGCTGAACCCGCTACTGAGGTCATGAATAAAATAGAGCTATTAAGAGAAAACCTAACTCTGGCCTGAATGGCAAGAGTTCAACATAACTATAGATTGCGAGTAAGACCGGAAGGTCAGCGTCTGGAAGGATCACTAAGACTAGCAGCCTCGGTAAAGTTCGCCTGGATAGGCTAAACTCGCTACTGAGGACATTAATAAAATAGAGCTATGAAGACTTAACTCTGGCCTGCATGGTGAGAGTAATCAGAAAACCCAGGGCAGAAGCCCCAAAAAAAGTTTCGTGAAAATGAGAAGAGGGAGAGGGATGGCCACATATATCATGGTATTCATTATTTGCACGTGTATAAATGAGCCAAAGAATTTTTTTTTATACAGTATACATATCTATATATATATTCTTTCAGTGAAAAGGAGCCCGGAAGGGCATAAAAAAAGTCATTCACTAAGTGACTTGAAAGCACAGGAAATTAGTCACAAAAGATCGACTGTCGTCCTAGAGATAGAAGACGAGCCATGGTCGCCATGCTTGACCAAACCATATAAAAAACTTGCCCCAAACACAATAGCTGAGAGACATAATCAAAATAAAAGTCACTTGATTTCCTCACCGTGCTAAGATGTATAAATACCAAAAATAAAATCCTCGTGGCTCATAATATTTCAGCTATTACAACACAAATTAGCGGAGCTTTCCTTGTGCGTATTTACAGCTGATTTGCCAGGCAAGAAGATGACAGTAGCAATGCGTGTGATGGAGGGTGCAGGAGGGGGTTTTGAGAATTGCAATTAAATGCCAGGTAGCGATGTGTCCTAATATTACGTATTTAAGTAATTATTAGATGTTTTAATTGCCTGTATGTTGGCCTGGCGAGTTAATGCTAGGCATTTACATACCTAGGTATAAAGCTAGATGTCGCATTCTGGATTAAACAAAAAATCCCAATACTCAGAAAATTCTGGGAATGGGAGAGATTTTTCCTGGGCTTGAGAGATAAAATCAAGTGAATTTTCTCAAAATTCCAAGAAATTTTTTCCAGTAATTGGAAAATTAAGGAATGGGGAATATTTTTTCCAGGTTCGAGAGATGATGTAATAGGCAATTTCTGGAACTTCCGAGAACATTTTTCCGTTACCTGGAAAATTCCGGGGATGAGGGATATTTTTCTGGCCTTAACTTAAGCCCCGGGTTAGGGTTCTGCTGGCAGTAACCACGATAAATCGAGAAAAATCAACTCACAAAAAATAATATAAAAAAAAAGTGGCAGGAATAGGCGGAGTTTTGGAACGTCACCCGGGGCACGCTGGTCGGACGTTCTGGAACGTCACCTGGGGCCTAAGGGTTAAGAGTCATCTCATTACCCGGAAATCTCTCATTCCTGGAAGTGCTCTGCAACAATTGGTCCAGCTAACAGAGATATAATATAAACACAGGAACACTCACCTCTTTCTTTCCCCTTCATAATCCACCCGAGTAGCCAAGCCAAAGTCTCCAATTTTCAGTTCCATTTCATCATTGAGAAATAGATTACCAAGTTTAAGATCTCTGTGAATGACTTTTCTGTCATGTAAATGCTTGACACCAGTCAGAAGATGCTTCAGGAAGTAACGGGTTTCAGGCTCTGTGATTGCTTTACGACGCTTATGAAGTTCCATTAGTGACTAAAAAGAGTAAAAGTATAAAATCTTTTGCATCTTAAATATGCTGTATATGTGTATATTCAACAATATCATGCCATCAATAAAAAGCTTATAAATTAAACAAATTAATAAATTCCATATTTTCTTTAAAATTATAATTGCAAAATCACAAGTACCTTACTGTAATACAATAATCTAAGAATAAGGTTGCATCAAAGGGCACCGTGTATTACACAGTTTCCCATCCTTTTTTGTTATTCACTTTCTCTAGCAGTAGTAACAGATTGATTTATGTTAGTGTTTTGCTTTCCCCAACACAGCTCCAAAATTTCAATCTGGCTAACCACTCTCCTACCACCACCCATCAGTAACATTTCTATCCCCATAACCACTCCACTTCACACATGTACATTTCTACTTCCTGAATGTCTATCTCCTTCTACCCAGTAACATCCCTATCCCCATCCTTCCACATCTACCTTGGTCTTACCCCCTCCCTCTTACCACCCACTTCCGAATAAAAAAAATTATTTTACAGCATGAATCTTTTCTTCTCTATCCTCTCACTACAGGTATGTCCAGACCACTTTAGCAAACACTGAATGGACCTATCTGGTACTCTTTCACTGCAAGTAATTTCCAAATTTTGTATTCTTTGCATCCCACTCACACCACATATTACTGCATTCTCAAGAACATTTTGAAGTTTGTTGCCTCTGACTTATTCTCTCCTCTCATATTCAGTCTATGCTTCATACCTGTATACAGTAATATTTCTGTTAGCCAGAATCCCTCAAATCCAGAACTCTCCAATAGCCAAAATTTAAATTTTCTCAAAAAATGATTCCCAAAGCTGGAATTTTACACAAAATTCTAACTTTAGGAACAATTTTCTGGAAATTTTTGAGAAATTTTTCCCAGTACCCAGAAATTCTGGGGATGGAGATATTTTTCCAGGTTCGAGAGATGATGTAATGCGCAATTTCTGAAACTTCAGAGAACATTTTTCCGTTACCCAGAAAATTCCGGGGATGAGGGATTTTTTGTGTGTGTTTTCAGTGGGTCGTCTCGTTACCCAGAAATCTATTGTTCCTGGAAGTGCTCTGTCTAGCTAATGGAAATATTACTATGGTAATTTCTTCTAAATTATTACTGTGTAAATCCACATTTTCCTCCTTTGGCATCATTCTTCATATACTTCTCAGTGAACCTATCAGATTACCTTCTTGCCCTCATATACTCAAGTCATCTCCCATACTTCCCTTCACAGACACATCCACTCCTAGATACCTGAAATACCGGTACCTCATTTGTTCCACTTTCTGCAATCGCAATCAATCACTCTCTCCATAAAAACTTTGTACAACTTTCTTCCTATTTATCACACATATTTTCAATCCTTCTCAAACTGCTTTTGCATCAGCTCAATAATATGCTTCTTCCAGATCAATTCATCAAGTCTAAGAACAGTACACATGGAATACAGTAAGTCCAAAACTTGAGTTACCTTAGGGACCCTTGAGGGGTCAGAGGAACAAGGAGACAAAGTCCCCCAGAATTATCTAGACATTTTCAAACACTTCTCGCTATTTTTTTCAGTAACAAAAATACCTACAGTATCAACCTTGTGGCATGTATACATGTACACAACAAAATTAGCTTACCCTTCTCCGGCATAGTTCAAGAATTATGTACACATTGTCAGCATCTTCAAAAAACCCATGGAAGGCAACAACATGCTTGTCTCTTAAACTACGATGAATTGATATCTCCTGAGACATCTTCTCTTTCTGATGAGGTTTGACCAAAAGGGACTTGGCAACTATCTTTCCAGCATAAATATCTCTTGTTTTTAAATCTGTCAGTTCGTAACATCTTGCAAAGCCACCCTGTAATAGAAACAAGAAAAAAAGAGAAATAGCATTATAATCATTTGGGGGTAAAGTACAGGTGCTCCTCTACTTAAGAATTTTCAACTTACAAACTTTCAGAGATACAAACATCATCACTGAGGGGGGTTACCTGCCAGAAAAGGTGTTTAATGTGGATGAGACTGGATTATTTTGGTGAAAATTCCAGATAGAACAAACATTAAACATTACCTAAGAGGAGAAGAGTGAGCCTGGTTTTAAGGCTGTATTAAAGGGTATAGCTATACTAAATATCCATAATCTTTTCATTTTTTACAATATGTTTGGTATCTACAAGAGTAAAGTTGGACTTATAAACAAGCCTCAGGAACGTAACTCGTTCATAAGTAAAGGAGCACCTGTATAGTATAAGCACAAATGTACTTATAAAGGGAAAAGGTTTACAGGAATAAAATAAAACACTGTTAGGCCCAATCCTCAACCTGAACAAATGCATGTGTGATTGATATGATATTTTTGTGAGGTATGGAATCATTGCAGAAGTTTTTCATTTGAAAAGTCTTTGAAGTATACATGTGTTGTAAACATTCACACCTATATCAGTTGTAGTGTTAGGAAAGTGAATTATTATTTTCTATGATTAAAGAGATCCCTTCTTTGAGGTATTTTATAAATGTTTTTGTTGTTATTAACCTTCACAACCTGCTGCATTCATGGTGGCAGTAAATTCAGTAGTAAATCTAAAGAAGAAAGTGTGATTCAACAGATATACCAGAAATCTTGCCCATTCACCATTAGGACCAAAGCCTCTAAGGATGGTAGGACTCCAGGTAGCAGACGTGGTGATTGAACATCAGAACCACGATGTTGACAAAGTCAGCTATGAACACTTACCATCACAAAGGGAGCTGAATGATGCTGACAGAAAGAAGGTTGCCGAGATGATCAGTTTGAATGCCAATCGAAAGCTGGTGCAACATCTATATAGATCTGTACAGTACAGGTAGTGAAAAATGGGAAAAAATTTTCTTCTTAAGGACATTCATAACATCAGGACTACTGCCAGGAAATCTAGGTTTCAGCTAATGGATCCTCAACAGTTAATGGAACTTTTAAATGCCAAACCTGGTGTGAATGCTGAAGGTGTTACAAATGAGGATGGTGACCTGATTGACATACAGTATTTCTACAGGATGTACAGATGCTACATACTTTTGAGAGCTTCCCAGAAGTGATGCTTGTGGATGTCACCTACAACACTAATGAACTTGGGATACCTTTCCACTCCTTCATTTTCATTGATGGCAATGGACAGAGGTTAGGCATCCTTCTCGTGCTCAATGAAGAAGAACCTCTGATCAGGAAGATGGTTCAAACTTTTAAGTCTCAACTCTAGCTGGGAGGACATAAAAGTCATTATGACAGATAAGGATATTGTAGAAAGGAACATGTCCAGCAGCTGAGCTACAGATCTGTTCATTTCATGTCCCATGAAAATTCAAGGGGGAAATAACACCAGAAATGCACAAAAAGTGACATAGAAATCATTCAGGATATTAACCTATGCAACATCAGGGACTGAGTATCAGGCAAAGTACCAGCAGCTTCTGGACTGTGGAGTGGATATGGTAAATATGTACTTTAACACTAACTGGCATCCAATCAAAAATCAATTGGTTAAAGGATTCAAACACCAGTAGATGTCACTTTGTGTATGCCCCAACAACAGGATGGTAATTTTTCAGTAAACTAAAAGATGTTACTTCAAAGGAAATGACCAAGATTTCCTGGATGCATTTTTCTGCCTTCTGAGACACTCAGAAATGAGCTAGATCATCTGCTCATAAACATGCCCTTGTTGACTTCAGGAAGGCCTTTGACCTTGTTGATCACTGCACTGTTATCAACAAGGCTACTGCACAAGGGCTGCCCACCAACCTGGTCTCATGGCTCACTGATTTCTTGAGTGGACGTCGCCAGGCAGTGAAGTATCAGGGCTCGGTCTCCACATTCCAACACCTCACCTGCGGTGTTCCCCCGGGGACCAAGATGGGACCACTGTGCTTCCTCATCCTGATCAACAACACTCTATCGGACACTCCTCACAGATAGAAGTACGTGGATGACTGCACTGTGGGGGTTTCAGTGGACAACACCGCACCAGACAACTCATCGCTACAAGGCACCCTGGACAGGCTACAGGCATGGACTAAGGAGAACAAGGTCACCATCAACCACACCAAAACCGTAGTCATGCACATCAATACCGCCACCACTCCAGTGCAAGCCCCAGCAGTCACAGTGGTTGCCCATCCTCTCCAGCTGGTGCAGTCTGCCAGACTCCTGGGAGTAACTATAGACAACAAACTGGAAGGCCCATGTAAATAACACAGTCAAGGCAGCCTCGTACCGTCTCTACATGCTACGATGACTTAGGTCACTTGGGACACCCACGCCAGAGCTGAGGACCATCTACAACGCCTTTATTCTCCCCAAACTAACGTATGCGTCACCAGCCTGGTCGTTTTCTCTCAACTCCACCCAACAACGTCAGCTAGAGAAGGTACAGAAAAGGGCCTGCAGAATCATGCTCGGCGCAGAATACTCCGGCTACGCTCTCTCCACCCTGGAAATGCCATCCCTCAGTGACCTCCACCACCAAGCACTGGAAAGGTTTGGCAGCCAACTAATGCACCACCCTCGTCATCGCCACCTCCTGCCACCGGCAGCCCCACACCCACCTCGCGCAGACCGCCACTACAACAAATTTCAGCCCATAAGAGCCCGCACCGATAGATATAAGAATAGCACCATCCCATCTATTGTTAAAATAATAAACAACTCCTGATTTATGTACTGTACAGCCCTGTAAATGTATTCAATGCATAATATATCATTATGCCTAAATCAAATGTAAGTCTGTATATTTGCAGCCACCGGCTGCAACTCCATTAATAAACCGTTTATTATTATTATTATTTTTATTATTATGGTCCAAAAGGCCTCTGCTCAGTCCTACCAGTGACTCATATGCTCAGCACATTAAGGGACAACTGGAGTGTGTTGACAAGCCAGAGGTTAACATATTGAATCCTTCCATTTATGGGCTAATACAATATGTAGTGCTTACTACAACACCTACATCTTGTGAATGCTCATTTTGAATATCCATGCAGCTTCTTTGTAAGCATGTGCTCTTTGTTTGAGATAACCGTGAACTAGATATGTATTGTGAGGACATACAGTAGTGCAACACGAGCATAAAAACTGATAAGATTACTGTAGTGTTTCCTATGCACCAGTACTAGCATAATCAAAGAGAGAAACACACTTAGTAGCAACCAAGAAAAGAGTAAAGATACACTTAAAACTTTTTAAAAAGTACATAGATCTAGTATCAGATACTGTACATAGTTGTTAATATATTTATGGGTTCACGGCTGAATGGCCTGGCTGTCTATGTAGCCATCCTGGCTACGTAGACTACCAGACTATTCAATCGGTGACAGCTTAATAGCCACAGCAAAAATAAAAAGATTTAAGAAATAAAAGTGGAAAAATTTGAAGACAGCATAATCTACATGTAGAATAAACTGGAATTGTACAGTATGTATACTAATAGAAAAGATTAAATAAAAGGACTGTTCTGTTTAAAATGAACAAGTTTTTTGACTAAAGCAGACGAGTGGTGTAGAAGAGAAAACATGTAAGTACTGTAATGAGAGATGTATAACACTACAAAAGAGGGATGCGAAGACAGTACAGTACCAAAAATATTTATTCAACTTCCAGGACTTTAATTATATAATTCCAAGAACTGGAAAGCCATTCTTAACCAGGGCTGTGGGTCGGAGTCGGAGTCGAGGAGTCGGAGGAAATTTCGGCTTGTGGAGTCGGAGTCGGTAAAATTGTCCAGACTCCGACTCCGACTGAAGCTATTCTGTTCCTAAGAACAAATATATGAACTCAGGCATATTCATTGCAGTGATTCCACTGATCCCACTAATTTTCTTAAATTATTAAAGAATTTATTTCCATTTTATAAGCATTATTATGAATTTATTGTAGCAGGCACAGTATAGCACTATAATTTTGGACGATAGTCTCTTCTTTACCATTTGAAATTTTGAATTATATCAAATTTTGTTTCGTTGAAAACTGCACAGAGGCTCTCAGCTACAAAACAATTAGCTACAACCTGTTTTTGGTGAGATTAAGGCAAATTTAATTTAATAACTTATTCATGTAAGGTTTATCCATTTTCCTTAATAAGGTATTCATTTCTTTAATGTACATAAATATATAACTTTACTTTAAAAGGAATTGTAGGATCATCATTTAGATCCACATCAGATTATGAGCTTAAACAAAATTCATATGCTGAGATCGAACTTTTAGATATACATGTAAATGGTGTTTTCTAGTTAATATCTTGAATTCTTAATAAATTTATTTTTCTTTTGATTGAAACTTTGAAAGTCAAGCCTATCATCTTTTTGTAGTTCTTAAATATCGTCCAGATCATTAATAAAGCTGTAGCAGTATAGCCACGGTGTTTTACTTTTTACCTATGCAGGTTACAACATACAAATTACAATTAGGATGGTAGAAATAGTTGTTACAAATAGGCCAAAGTCGGTCGGAAGCTTATAAAATTTGATGGTCGAAGGTTTTGTCTTCGACTCCAGCCCTGTTCTTAACACAATGTGAAGGCAATGTAATTGTTCTTGGCCCTCCCTCCACTTCACAATATGGCTTATCTAAGGATTAGATACCCTAGCTTATTTCACCTGAAGATTAACCACCCTAATGCTACCTAAGGATGAATAGGTTAGGTTATCATGGTTAATCTTCAAATGAGGTAAGCTGGGGTGCCTAATCTTTGCGTGATCTCTCAATATTCATGTTCCATGTTTTTTCATTACTGTAATATTTATATTTCTAAAATAATTTTTTTTTATTAATTAAAGACATTTTAGGTTCACAGTAGTGATATCATAGTTAATACTTTCAAAAAT